TACTTTAATTTCATCGGTTTATTAGCTGCATCGGGATGATCTGGAAGAGATTCCAATGGTCTACCAATTGGAAAATGACCAAGGGTTAACGGAGCAATCCCATCATCGTCGTTACTGTTGATAGAAGCAGCAATCGGTCTAGAGTTCGAGCAGGCTTCGATTTGGCATAGACACGTAGTCAGTTCTTCAAAGTTCAGTTTAGTTTCACCAACAATCCTCTTGAGATGATACTTGCATGCCTTGACACCGTTTTCCCATACTGAGCCATGATGAGGGCCTGTAGGGGGGCTGAATTTCCACTGTATGGCTTGTGTAGAACAAAAATTGGCAATAGTCGCTCGTGTCTCTGCTTCCTTTAAGTAGTCATAAAAATCCTTGAGATCTTTATTTGCTCGAGTAAAACATGTTGCATTGTCACTCCAAATTTGACGTGGTTTTCCTCGTCTCGCCACGAATCGACGTAGTGCTGCGACAAATGCTTCAGCTGTTAAATCAAACACTAGTTCTATATGGCAGGATTTTGTTTGGATCCAGCTTTGATGAAAACAGGACCAGCATAATCAACTGAGACCATTTCGCTTGCGAATGATGGATTAACTCTTTCTTTTGGGAGTTGACTCATTAGCTGTGCGGAAACCTTTGGAAATATACGCCGACAGATCACGCATTCACGAGTGCACTTTCGAACAATCTTTCTAGCACTGATAATATGATAGCGCTGTTGAAGTGTTCCTAAGACCAGTTTAGGTCCTACATGGCACAATCGTTTGTGTTCATGTTCGACAAGCAAGGTGGTAAGTCGATGTTTTCCATGGAGAATTAAAGGGTGACGTGAGTCAAATTCTAGTTGTGATTGTGAAAGGCGTCCACCAACTCTCAGCAAACCCTCAGAGTCGAGAAATGGATTTAGAGGTTTTAGATAGTGTTTATTGGATAGTTGTTTTCCTTTCTTAAGTACAGCGATGACTTCAGAGAACATTTCAGACTGAACTTTCTTGAACCACCATGTTTCAGCTTTGTGTAATTCATCAACCGTTTGTGGCGTTGAAGTGAATAGGTATTTTTTGTTGACTACACGGCGAATGAACGCAGTAAATCTCATTAAGCGAATGAAGCTCGAGTATCGATTGATGTCGATTACAGCCCTTGGTAAAATGTTCGTTTTGTTTACCGGCATTGAGACTTCCTTTTAATTTTATCCTTTAAATTTAAATCTTCTTCTCGGATGCCAGATGTCAATACAGCTTCAAGGGGAGGAGGGATAACTAATTTCGATTCCCAGGTTGACGGATCCGATTTTAACCAATGCGGTCCTGACCACCATACATGTAACTCATGATTGATACTATCTTTAGGGAGAATACCACGAGAACCGGCATCAGCAGGGTTTTCATTTCCTTTGACATGTTTCCATCGCTAAGGAGGTAAACTTTCCTGGATTTCAGAGACTTTACCGTATTTGCTTCGAAGGTTTTCAGCCGTTGACTGGTTCCATATATCCAATAAAATACAATGGTACTGCCCGTAAAAGCGTAGATATCTTTGGTGGGAATTTCAAGGGCAGCTTTGAGATGTTTTACAAGACGAGTTAGAAGATGGGCACCACACAATTCAAGACGTGGCAGCGATACTTTCTTTATAGGAGCAACCTTGGTTTTGGCTTCTACGAGAGATATGTGTACACCGCCGGACGTGTCGACACTTCTTAAATAGACCATGGCAGAATACGCTCTTTCGCTTGCATCAGAGAACCCAATCAACTGTTTGTCAACGATTTGACAATTGATGGGAGCATAACAACGTGGGATTCTCGGTGAAGAAAGTTCAGGTACTTGATTTCTCAATTCTTTCCAATCTCTTTCGATATCTGCAGGAAGCGGACTGTCCCAATCCAATACCTCGTTCCCACAAGCGTTGGAAGATGATCTTTACTACGATAGTAACACACGACACAAGACCGAGAGTATCGAAGATCTTGGCTGAATCTGATAATATTAAACGTTTAGTAAGTTCAGTTTCTTCAGTGGGAAAGTGTGACACCGAGAATCGGAATTGATCTTGCTGCGAGTTGTAATCGATTCCAAGAGTTTTGGTAAAGTTGTCTGATTCAGACAGATTCGCTGTAGCTGTGACACTTTGAATTTCCTTTGGAATGGCATTGAGGACTTCGGGTGAATTTGAGTCCCATTTGTGCAATTTAAAAGCACCTTTCTGAAAGAGTTGTTGTAATTGCTGGTAAACAACTATGGCTTCTTCCTTTGTCTTGACTGAGGGAAGACCATCATCAACATAAAATGATTCTTTTACCGCTTTGGCAGCTTGAGGAAGTGCTGCTTGATTTTCTTCTGCTAGTTGCAAAATGGATTTAGTGGCAAAGAATGGGGCACTAGTTATCCCAAAGGTGACTCTCGTCATTCTATATTCGTGCATTTCTTCATTTGGATTATCTCTCCAAAGAAATCGATGGAAATCCCAATCATTTGGATCTAAACCAACTGCTCGATACATCTTTGAGATGTCGGTGATGAGAACGTAGGGATGTTTACGAAATCGAATAAGCACATCATTCAGGGGAGGATGGACAGTAGGACCCATAAGAAGATTGTCGTTTAAGGATACACCACTTGAGGTTTTCATTGACCCGTCAAACACTACTCGAACTGGAGTGGTTGTTGAAGCTTTGTGAACTGCGTGGTGAGGTAAGTAAAATGTTTCTGAAGGAGGTTTGTCAAGTTCGCTAACAGGAACCTTTTCAGCATGTCCGGACGATAATTATTCGTTAACTACAGCTGAGTAATCATCATAGAGTTTCAGATTATGTAGACGTCTTTCGAGAGGCAAAGAGGCAGGAATCTCCTTAACGCATGAGGTCGCGACTCGCCAAGAGGAGTAACATCAGACTTAAATGGCAGTCTTACAATGAAACGTCCATCTTTGTCATGCTTGTGATGAACAGTAAAATCTTCTACTACAAGTTTTTCAACTGGTGAAAATGTTTGCTTTATTTCTGGAGCTTCTTCTAAAGTCCAAAATTTTTGAAGAATTTCTTCACACGAAAGTTGTGATGTTGTAACAAACATTGTTGTGGCTTCTCTAGCAATTGTTGGTTCGTTAACTGGTTTTGGACTGGTGTTGCCAAAGAGCACCCATCCAAAGCTTGTGTCTTGGGCAGCAGGAGTTCCTACACCTAGCAAGATGTCTATTGGCTTGGAAATGTTGAAGTTTGGATCTGCAGGTGATAGTGATTCCAAATGTGGCCAGTTCCCAATTGATATGGACTGCAGAGGGAGACTTTTCCTTAATGAGGGTAAAACGATGGCATCCAAATTCTCTAATGAGGATGAATCATGAGCTGATTTTAATTTGACTTCTACCACTTTATTTTGTGTGTTTATACATTGTGTCTCTCCAATCCCATTGATGCAAATTGATTGCCCTTGTTTTGGGAGCTGGACCTAGCCTCTCAGTAGTGAAAGAGGCTGTTGAAGCAGGATCTAATAAAACTCTTGCGACTGCTTGGTGGCCCCAAAGTCCACATGCAATTACTTTGGCTGTCATCATTAGGGCTGTGTTTGAAGCTAATGTGCTTTGGGTCGACAAATTAACCTGATTTTGACTTGATGCTGTGGTGGGTTTGGGGAAATAGGTTGAACTAGAGGAAGGTTGTCTGGTAGTAACTGGTAGACTTGGTGGTGATACATTGGGTGGTGGTACATTGGGTGGTGGTGCATTGGGTGGTGGTGTATTGGGTCAAAATGGGCTGTCGATTTTCTACGTCAAGATGTAGAAGTGTATGATGCTTCTTGCCACACCTTTGACAGCTGTAGTGAGACGGACACTGCTTGACTGTATGTCCACCCTTTAAACAGTTGAAACACATACCCTGAGAAAAACTACAAAGTTCCGTTTTTCTGGAACAGATTTCTGCTTAAATACTTGACAATAGACTGTTCCATGTTTCAACTTGTTACATGCAAAACACTTGCCACTTGCAACTTGTGTTGGTAACATGCGATGCAACTTGTGATAGATTCTTAAACTTATTACCTTTATTATCACCAAACTGTGGTGGCCTTTTCTGTTAAACTGTTAGCTCAGTTGCTTTAGCTCTTAGGTCCAAGAAGTCCAAGAACTTTTCGTAGTCAGGAACATCAGTTTCACCTTGAGTGAACTTTTGCCATTCAATCATGGTAGTGGGGTCAAGCTTACTTTCACCAAATGCTGTGATACACTGTCGGAAATTCAGCTTCTTTAAAGTTTCGAGTGATCTGAGATGATGTTGAAATTTATCGTGTAGATTTCTCAATTCTGAAGATGATCCATCTTTGAGGTACCTTGCTTTGAGTAAGGCTCGTACATGAGCACGATGAATGTCTTCTGGTCTGTCAAAGCGGACTTTCAGTGCTTCTATTGCTTCAGGATATGCTTCGGCTGTTGCATCAATGCCTTCTATGGCCCCCATCGCCTTCTGAGTTGTAAGTGATTTCAGAAGATATTGCATTCTCAACTGGTCAGTGAGTTTAGTAGATTTATGAATTGTAGCTTCGAACTGTTGCCAGTATGACTTCCAGTTGGCTGATTCGCCATCAAAGGTTGGAATGTTTAACTCAGGAAGTCTAATGGTTTTCTGTCGTTCAGAACAGGAGCTGGAGAAGTGTTCAATCAGTTTATTGATTTCATCTCGGTGCTGTTGGTTTCTAACTTTACTTCGGCTTCATATCGTTTTCGTTCTTCCTCTTCTTGTATTAGTAGTTTTTCTTGTTCCTTTTCTTTTCTTGCCTTTTCTTGTTGACATTGCTCACTAATGAGGGACGCTATACTTTCTTGATTTGACTTTAATTCACTATACATATCAGCACAGGTCTCAGTCCAGTTTTTGCCACTGTCGTCGATTTGTAAATTGTCACGTTCACTGATTGACTGATTTTCTACGTCAAGATGTAGAAGTGTATGATGCTTCTTGCCACACCTTTGACAGCTGTCATCGATTTGTAAATTGTCACGTTCACTGATTGATTGATTGATTGATTGATTGACTGTTAAGTCTCACTTATCAATTGATCTAACGATTTAATAAGTTCTGAAAATTCAGCTTTATGTTCATTTAGTTCGTCTTTAACTAGCTTTTCTGTATTTTGTTTGGCTGTTTCCACTTTAATGATTGCACTTTTCATATCTTGGTTTAAACGCTTCCACTTTCGCTCTATAAATTTCCTTTTCTCGTCATCACTATCTTCCTTTGCATTGAGACTGGTATTACTTGTCTTTGGATCTGGTTTGGATCTCATAGTAAAATACATAAGCTTACTGCTATTTTCTCTTACTCGATCATCATGCATTTCTAATTCTTCATTTCCTTTTCAACTAAATCAGAATCTTCAAGATTAAGGGCAAGTTCACTAGCCTGTTCGTGTATGTTTTGAAACTGTCGATCTAAGTCTTGAATATCGCTGAGAAATAACTTAGCATGCACATACCATGTCATAGTCCGTGACTTCTTTCACTACAAGTGTAGTTATTTTCTTTTCTAAGTTGGTAATTATTCGTTTAACAAGGCTTCTTTTGTGTACAAACGTTGCTCGCTCCTCTTGCAAAGGCATATTGAAGCGTGTCTAATCGATAGACGACGGAAGGAAGGGCTAACTTAGATTTGATATATAACATTTGAATATCCGTGCAATATTTACTGAGCTATCGATGTTTTAAATCGAATAAGCATATTTGACAATGTTAATAATTTGCATAAAATTGCCTATCAAATATTATTTGGTTAAACTTGATTATATAGTTTTATTGTGGCCAAAAGAACGAATGAAAACATAATTGTTAGACAAACATTTATTCAAATTGCCATTTTCCACAAAAATTAACAACAGTTTCAATTTCAGCATTTCACCTCAACTTTAATTTCGGGTAATGCATGTCCTAGTATAAGTTAACCTTTCGTGTTTCTTGGGAAGCGAAATAAGCATGAAACATTTATTTCATAGATTTATTTCATAGATTTATTTCAATACATTTATTTCATAGAAATTAGTTTAAATACAAGTTTTTTTAAAGAATTAATACCGAAACAACAGCGAAAGAAACATGTTCAGTGAGAATATAAATTGCTCAGAAAAGTTTGCAACGAAAGACAAATGAATTTGCAGTCAATATAATATATCTGAGCTATTCTGTGAGATAGCTAAAACCATTTCTTTCATTTCGTCTTCGAGTTGTAAAACAAAAGTATTTCAAATTTTCAAGACCAAGCGGTTTTTGGCCGAACAAATTATCAAGACATTGTAACAGAGGATAATTAATTATTGCTTCAGTTAACGGCTATTAGACTATATTATAAAACAATTATACCATTCGCTCTCGTCGTATATGGCTGATAGCCTCGTCGGCTATCAGCTCATATACGACTCGAGCTCATGGTATAATTGTTAAATATATAAATATAAATGAAAATATGTCGAGCGTCGTCGTTAAATATATAAATATAAATATAAATATATAGAGCGCCGCTCTAGAAATGCGAAGGTCGCGGGTTCGATTCTCAGCCGTGGTCAAGTAGAATTAATTTTCTGCTTGCCTGGCTCATACTCGTAAAAACATCAAAACACCTACACATTACCTCACGAGTAAAATCTCAGGAAAAAAAAAATTAAAAAAATAAATATATATATATATATATATATATATATATATATATATATATATATATATATATATATATATATATATATATATAAAAGTTTTGGTTGCCATGCCTGGATATATGTGCTGGGTGTTGGTAATGATTTCTTCAGGCAAAAATAAGCTTAAAAAACTTTAATAAACTTTAAGCTTACTTTTGCCTGAAGAAATCATTACCAACACCCAGCATATATATATATATATATATATATATATATATATATATATATATATATATATATATATATATATATATATATATATATATATATATATCTATATATATATATATCTATATATATATATATATATACCGGGTGGGGCAAAAAAAAGTACGACAGTTTGATTCACCATGATTCAAAAACTGAAAAAGCTATTACGCTTAAATAAGTCACCGTATATTCTATGATGTTTAACTTAAATTTTGATGTACCTTTTCATGCAATATTGGCTGAGATAACTGTGCTTAAACGTAAGCAAACACCTTTGGAACGGCCAAGAATTAGCTGAAAAGGCCCTATTAAAACCAATTGAATAACCGTTACCATTTTCTCGCGATTATTGTTTCATATATATATACAGGGTGTATAAAAAAAAATAATGTAGAATAATGAGAAAAATTTCTCGAACTCAAATTTTTACAGCTGAACCAGAGTCTTTTCCAACAAACTAAAAATGGCTTGCGCACAAAATTTAAAAGCTGCAATCATATTTTGAGTTAACAGATGGATAATTTGTCTGGATTTTAATTGCTGTACAAAATTTCAGACAATTTGGTTTAGTTTAAGCCCCTTAACTGTTCACGCAAAGTTACAATTTTCCCTAAAAATCAGCTATTTGCATGCTTAATTAATGCATTTGCCTAATTTGCATATGTCAGCAATAAGCAAATTAGGTAAAGGCATTAATTAAGCATGCGAAAGGCTGACTTTTTAGTAGTATAGGAAGTAGCGGTTCTAGACCACTTTTTCAGCCCGCGATCCCACCCCACTTCCGGTCAGCGGTTTCCCAAATTTTCCCCAAAAACCGCGGGCTCAATTTTTCTAGACCATTTTTTTCTAGACCATTTTTAACTCATTTTTTTATCTATTATTTATCAGAATTATTTAACAATTTATTTTTCTATTAAGTGGTGTCCGTACGCGTAACTTGTGATGCCGTCTTCAAGTAGGTATCTCTTATCATCGAAACAGCTAAGAGTAACTTTCTTTATTTCGTAAGTTCCAATTTTGTGTTTGATGCTTCGGATTGTGTTCATCTTATGTCTCATTAAACCTCTCGTCTTGATTACGTTCTTGAAGTTTTCGTGAGTGAGTTTATTTCTAATCACATACTTTTTCACTCCCTTCGCGGTCATTCCACCTCCACCACTTTCCTTCACATATGAGTACATCTTTGACCTTAACCCAACGAATTCAATCACTGGTACTCCCGCAGCTTCATCCTTAAACTTACCAATCACCTTCTTATTATGAGCTGAGTAGTATGGGGAATCTTTCGGATAGTCTGAGTTGTCCCAACAGTCCTGCTCTTCACCGATCCTCCTGAAGTCCTCATACACATCATCAGTCTTTATTTCATACATCAGACTGTCAGTATCTGTGAACAATAGCTTTGACCTGTCACCGTACTCCTTCTTAATTGTATTGTAATGGAAGTCGTACATAAGAGTCTTTGATAAGTCTAAGATGCTCATTCCGACGTAGCACGGTTTGTTTAGAGTTAGAACTTCCTTCGTTCGTTTTACAACTATTAAGTTCTCATTCATAATCCTATGCGACTGGAAGCACGGCGACGCTGTAAGTTTTAGGAGGTCATTTTCCGATGACACTAATTTCGCGTCAACTCTTTTCCTTAGATTCTCCATAGTCTTTCCGTAGATCGAGTTATTCATTAATTTGAAGAAATTCTTTTCAAATGCATTTTTAGCTACTGAACGTTTCTTCGTATTAAAGTCGATGTAGTTTTTGAGCCAAGGTGACTGCTTAAATGTAGCCGCTCTATGAACCCTTGTGAGTTTCATTCCAAGGTCCATGTAGAGTCTAAGATTACGAGCATGTAGGACGTAGTTCTTTCTGGGACCTAGGGAGTTTACCAGTTTTCTTACTCCTCCAATTGTCAGCTGGAATTTATCAGCAATATCCTTCGCGTAGTCTGACAACATTGATGCCTCAATCTCTTTGCTCTCTGGAGCTAGCGGATAACCGTTATGCAATTCGTGAAGTTCCTGTGGATATTCCATGTCGACCTCTACAACCATACCTCTTTCACTGTCTCCAAGGTAGTCATCAATGTTTATATTGTCAACTTCTTCGATCCACTCAAACTCTCCATTTGGTAGTGATTGGGACATTGCCCAGCCATATAAATTATTGGCGTCGAGGTACATAAGGAACTTGTTTTCAAGCTCTTCGTTGTACGTTTCCATATACTTATTATTCGCTATAGAGTGTCTATGAGCAATATGACTTGTCCCACCTCTCATTCCCTTCTCAAAGAACTGGAACATATCCATATCACTTACCAGTTCTATTTCCTCACCTGACTGTTTTAGGAATGCGTCCCAACTTAGACTGGGTGCTGACACGTGGTGTGCAGGGTCTAGCTTGTAGTTTTCCAAGCAAGTTCTCCTGAAGTTTTCAAAAACATCTGCCAGTAGAAGAACGTCAGTTTCCAGGTAGAAATCGTGGTAGTCTCTCATGGTTTTCATCCCAAAGTGATTCCATACTTTCTGAGCTCTCTGGTAATCTTCTTCTTTCACCTCCGACTCATATAGTGAAGAGTAAAACTTATCTTTACTTGGAAGACCCTCGGTATTGAGTTTGCTGATGTCATCTAGATACTCATATGGAAATACACCCTTCTGTGTTACAAGATCAAAGTCCTCACCCTTCCACCTCTTACCTACTATTTTGAAGTCCTCAGGTGAAAGGTTGCTTACGAGTGCTTCCAAAGAAGAAGCCATGAACTGTATTGAGTCAATGAACACAAGACTTTTACCCAGTGAGAAGGAAATATATTTTTCCATATTATTTGGAATCACGTTAATATCCATCTTAAACTTACCGATCTCTTGCATAATTAGATGGCTATCGTAACCTCTCAGATTATGGAAGACCACTGGAACTTTCCATGTGATTCTATATTTTAGATTACACATATTATGGGCAGCTCCACGGTAAAGTCCAGTTACGTGATCATGGTCCCTCACTCTATCATCTCCAAGGTCGTTACCACATATTGAGCAGTTCCTAGTCATCCAGAACTCGGTTTCCTGTTCGGGTGTAATTACCATCTTTTTCTTGAATATTTTGTTAACCGTCTCTCTGCACTTAATGGACTCCTTTAGTACGGTCTTTAGGAAGACTAATGCGGCGTCTTCACCAACATAACTTACATATTTGCCTGAGTACTTATCATCGTAGTGGCAGACTGTTTTTAACCCAAAACTACAAGCCTTATGCGTCTGGTAAAGGTCCGTACTGCTTTTGTCCTCAGTGCTTTCAGAATCAACTTTTCTCTCTTCTGGAACCAGTATGGACTCAAAGTCGGCATATATTACAAATGGTGCAGGCATTGAGTTCCTGTGATTTTTGAACTTTATTTTAGTTCCTTCCTTGGGAAGCTTTGTGGCCTGAGTTCCATTTACCTCGAGACATGTCTCCTTATGCTTCTTCAGCAGCTCTTCGCTCTTACAGCTGTGGAGGCAGTGCAGGCAGAAGTGCTTCTTGTGTTCGTATCCACTTACACTATACAGCATTCTGTTAATGTCCTTTATTAGGACATAGTGGTTGTTTCCATTACCGTCACCTAAGAGCAGCAGCTCCATATGCTCGTCGTATTTGGTCTTGGAGTTTCTTATTGGATAGAACACCTTTTTACCCTTGTAGCCGAACACCGATATGCTTATGCTGTTCTTCCTCTCAATTTTGTCAATATCGCTTATTTTTACGGGGAAGTCTATTCCCTCATAATCCAGGTTTTCAGCGAACTTGATATCCTGTCGTGTAATGGTGGTTGCTCTCCTAACCTTTGGTCTCACGTGTCTCACATGACTCCACATAAAACATTTATTGTCATTATTTTTCATGTTGATGAGACCACATTTCGGATTAATGATGTCTGCGGGTAATTTCATATAAGAACTACCCTTTAGAGGTTTGTACATTGCAATATTAACGTAATGGCTTTCAATATTCAGAATAATCCAATTTGAGCCTAAGTTCTGGAAGGTTTCAATTCTGGATAGGATTGTCAGTTGGTTCTGGGCGGCTGTACTTTCGATATCCTCAAAGTTAGTCACTGTTCCAGTTTTAGACTTGAAGTATATCGAATCCTTCTTTGTCTTATCATTACCGATCTCCTTTGACATTCTTACCTTTATTGTCTCGGTATATTTCAACCCTCCCATTCTCTTCAACTCATTCACTAGAATTCCTCTCACCACCTGCCTACTTGCGGTCATCTGGTCCAGGGGATCCGTATAATGTGGAGTAATTGAGTAAGTTACGGCAGCACCGTTTGCGGCAGTCTCAATTTTCCTATGGGATGGCTTTTCAAGATATGTTCCGAATGGATCTATTTCATGTTCCTTAGGTGTGACCACTACGGGCTGTTCGTTAACTTCCTTATACACTTTTACAGGCTTTCGTAGCTTTGGAGGAGGCACTGGTTTTACGGTTCTTGGTTTAGGAACAGGTTTTTCCCTAGGAAATATAGTTCTCGGTTTAGGAGTGGGTTTTTCCCTGGGAAATATAGTTCTTGGTTTAGGAATTGGCCTTTCCCTAGGTTTAGGTGTTGGTTTCCAGGGAGCTACACCCTTTGGTACTTCAGGAGCTTTCCTTGTGGGTTTCTTATTAAGATTCACGTGGATTGTGAACTTACCTGGACCCGTCGGAGTAATAACACTATTTGCAGGAACTGAAAGTTTAATCCTGTTTTGACTTATGAATCTTTCGGCGACGGTTTGCCTTTTAACCTTAGGTTTTGGTGTTTCAACTACCTTAGTCTTCGGTGGTCTTCCACGCTTTTTGGGAAATACAACTTCAGCGTCGGACTTAGGCTTCGGTGGTCTTCCACGCTTTTTGGGAATCACAACTTTAGCATCAGTCTTGGGTTTTGCTGGTCTTCCTCTAGGAACCTTTACTTCACCATCAGCCTTGGCCTTTGGTGGTCTACCTCTAGGACGCTTGGGATTCCTCTCATTTTCAAGTCTCTTAATTTCAGCATTTACCTGTGGATCGTCTGTTCGCCATCTTCCTCCCATTGTTGGTGGTAAACCTTTGACTCCCCTACTTAGTAGGCTCTGGTACGCCTCTTCGACTAGTAAGGCCTTAGCCTTTTGTCTCTCGGAATACTTCCATGTCGGCATAATTCCTCTTCTACCTTTATAGTTAAGTGGGAGTCGTCTTGGTTTCTTAGGATCCGTAGAACGGTCGCCTTCGTCTATGAATAGTCTTTGTCCTTCAAAGGGATCTTTGCCCTTATCCTTAGGTGCAACTCGATAGAACTCATCCGTAAATATTTCCTCAACTTCGTCATCAATGTCACTAACATCGCTATCATCAACTATCTCGCTGAGGGCCATAAGTTGTTCTACAGTTAAATCGTTTAAGTCAAAGTTTGTCGCCATTTTTTCACTCTCTCTCTATATACTATATGTAAAAAAAAATAGACCTATTAAAAGGTCTATTTAATTTAATAATTTATTTAACATTTAATTTTATATTTTTATTTTATTTAACATTTAATTTTGTATTTTTATTTAATTAATAATTTTATATTTTTATTTAATTAATAATTTTATATTTTTATTTAATTAATAATTTTATATTTTTATTTAATTAATAATTTTATATTTTTATTTAATTAATAATTTTATATTTTATTTAATTAGTAATTTTATATTTTATTTAATTTATGATTTGTTCCTTAATTTCCAGTTATTATAATATTTACAATTTATAGGTTTCCATCCCAACTCGGGGAAGACTTTGCCATATAACCTATTCTCAAGGATGTCCACAATTCTTTTGGTCTTAATGTCCTCAGGAGGGTTTCTCAACGTGATATTGTTCATGCTGGCTATCCTTAGTAGGTAAAACTTATATCTAACTATGTTGCGCCCCCGTTGCAGTCTAAGTCTTTGTATACATCTTACGATGCTTCTAAACTGCTCCCGTATGGTATCCCTATCCCCTGAAGCAACATGCTCTAATAAGTGTCCCTCAAACCAACGGACTCCTGTCACTTGTACCACATTGTGTGCATACATCTGCTCCATCTATTACTACAATAGACTTACTACCACATTCAACACATTCCGGTTCGTATGTATGTACAACCTTCATTTTACCTCTCACGTATTTCATTACTGCGGCCTCCAGCTCCTCAATGTTTTTTGCTCTCCTACCGACTCTTTCCATTTCATCAGGTGTTACCAGTGTCAGCCAGTCCATTCCCTATACTATATGTGTTAAAATATTCTGCTTGTTTTTGTTGTCTGTTTTTACGTCTCCTTATTATTCTCAGTTCTACATATTTTTTAATCGCGGCCTCCAACTCCTCTATAGTGTCTACCCTTTTACCAAGGGCTATTACCTCGTCAACGTCTACCATTGCAAGCCAGTCCATTTCTCTACAATATATATATAAAAATATATTGCCGTATTAAATTAATAAATAAGCTGCCCCTCCAACCACCCTACCCATAATTAAACCAAATATTGCCATATATTCTTCCATCTCTGAGCTAGGTTTGTAGTGGTTACTTAGTTGCGGCTTTCTTGGCATAGCTCTGTGTGTTAGCTCGTTTATTCTCCTGATGAGTTCCAATGCCTTATTTGTTGAATTAATATCCCTATTCGCCTCACCTAGTTCGGCCTTAAGTTGCGCAATTCTGTTTCTTCTATCGGTACTTCTTCAAGGTACTTCTCTCTTTCAGCTGTTAGGTTCTCCATTGCAATATTGTGTCTGTGGGCTTCCTCAGCGTATCCATTCTTGTCAAACATTTTAAATAGATATCCTGCTCCAGCAAATGCGAATGCGTTAAATAATCCTCCTGCTACTGCTCCCGCCATTGTATAGTCTTACCTAGGTTTTGAATGGGTCATCTGGTATATACTTCTTTTCTTTCAGGTAAGAGACTAGTAGAGATGAGAGGCTAACTGAGACAGCTAGCTTTACCATTCCTTTTACATTCTCTGGGGTTCCTAACGGTTCTTTCAATAGTTTTTTCGATGCCATTGATATACCAACTGCTCCTGCTGTAAGTAACACTGCGTTGTACACTTCCGCGGTCATCTTTGATTCTTTACTCATCTTGCTATAATATATATTATGTTTAACGTATCATTCAAATGAATCTAACTTGGGCGCATCAGCTTTCCTGGTTACTTCTACAGTTTTGGGGATGTACTTAGGTTCTGGTTTCTCTGTTTCCCTCTGATGCTGATTAAATGCTAGAGCAAGGGATATCAATGCGATGACCACTCCTACATATGCGATCATGTTATTGCTGGATGACTCCTCAGGTTCTGCAAGTTTCTTTTTCCTCTCCTTTGCTATTTTGCTGATTGCAGCTAACCGTTTTGCCGCAGCTACTCTTCTCGGGTCTTTCTTCTTTTCACTTGTTACTACTTGAGTTTGCTCAGGTTTATCTTCCATTCTACTTGTAAGATACCTTAGGTTTAACTGGGTTTCATCTTATGAGACATCTAGAGTCTACTTGTGAGATAACTTAGGTTTACCTGTAAGATGTCTCAAATCTACTGGTGAGATAACTTAAATCTACTGGTGAGATAACTGGTGAGATAACTCAAATATACTGGTGAGATAACTTGGGTCTACTTAGCAGTATGATGGGATTGCTTGAAAAATGCCCAACAAATTTTGTCGAGCATTTTCTAAGTTTCCCGTTTGCACTCTGGTACCGACTACATCAGTAAACACTTTTTGCGCATCTAGTACTTACCGATTGTGTAACCAATCCTTTGAATTACGACTTCCTTACACTTACTATACTCTAAGGTCTTACACTTTGTCTTAAGGTTCTCTATTTCATTTATAAGTCTTTTTGTATTATCAACTCTAAAGTACTCATCTATGAATAGCACTATCTCTGTGTAGTTGTTGGATATTAGTGTTCGGAATCCGTTTTTACCTAACTCTCTTATCCATGCTACCTGATTATCTCTAACTTCACCTGTGCCCTTTGGGGTCTTAAGTTCTATTGCGAATCCATTGAAACCATTACTTGGAGTGACTATAATAAGATCAGGTTGCCCACCTAAATATCCCTTATTCCAGGCGTCGCATCTCTTTTGTGATGTATCCTGATACTCTCCTAGTCCGGGTAGAATTAAAGCTTTCGGGTGGTAGTCTTTAAGATATTCTACAACTGCATAGTGCAGGTCCGTCTCGTTAATTAGTCTCATCTGATTGCAGTATAGTGGCTCAGGTTCTGGTAGTCTATAAAATCCAGTTTTACGGATAGATGGAATGACGTCCGTTACCACCCAGTCTTGAAAGGCCTCTGCTATTGGAAGTCTGGATTTGAATATTAGTTGGTACAGACCCTGTTCCCTTAGGAAAACACAGTTAGGCTGGTAGTTGAAGGTGGGACCCTCAAGGGTCCCACCCTTGAGTTCCCTAAGTGTTACCTTATTTTTCTTCCATACATTAACCTGAATGGCCTTCTTTGTATTTGAGTACCCAAGTGATTCCGCCACATCTTTTGCGTAAAATAATACGTCCCCATTACTTTCAACAGTTCTCACACTAACGTTAAGATCTCGGTTCCTGAATAGTTTCTCCATCTTTCTCTATACTATATATGTAAAAATTTTTATGGTTATTTAATTTCGAATTAATGAGAATTACCCGATTTAATTAGTTGCAGCATTCCCTCTAGCCCACCCAGCTGCATACCGTATATACCCAATAGCAAATAAAATATTACATCTCATTTAGTTTCTTGTATATCTTTACAACTGTTTTAACTGTGTCATCCCTAAATGCCTCGTATTCATGTTGAAGTGGTCCTATGACTTTATCCTTAAGATTATGTAGGTCCTTCTCTATAAACCCTATCACCAGCTGATTCTTTCTGAGTACGATCTCCAATGAGTCCAGCGTCTCCTGAATCTTATCTAACTTTTCCCTGTTTGTATCAGTCTTCTCAATTAATTCATCGATTATGGCTTCGAATTCTGTTCCATCCCAGGCGTTCCCCCAGTCGTCGTAGGGTTCTCCGAGTTGTGGCATTCTTCTTCCTCTTCGCTATGTAATAGGATATGTTTAGCTTCCTCGGATACCTCCTCCTTCTTATTCCACTTATGAGCGACGATGTGCTTTGTGGTTGTGCAACCACCTGATATTAATCCTATGAATGGAATGTTTGGTGAGATTGTTCTTGTTAGATATGATACGTCATCCTTTAAGAGCTTGTCACCAAGCAGCTCTTCAGATAATTTATCTGATGATTCCACTGCACCAAAACTTCCTAATACAGAAGCAAACTTTGAGATAATAAGAGTTGATAAGAAGTCACTTGCGCATGACATCCTTTGACTTTCATACTCATGATATAGTCTATCCACAACATCCTTGTTGGACTTTCTTATAAAACTTGCGGACTTCTCTATTACACCATCCCTTGATAGCTCTATAAGCTTGTCTCTTTTACTTTCAGTTTGCGACTTATCTGCGGTTTTTCTTGCGGTAGACTTAGCTTTCTTTTGCGGTGCCTTTGCGGCCTCTTCTACTTCCCTCACAGCATTGGATATTTCCTCGCCGGATTCTGATCCCATCTTTTATATTCTACGTGATGTTTTGTTTGATAGTGTATGTGTAAGGGTGTATAAGTAGTATATCCAGTGCGGTGAACTTCTCATCTTTTAGTACCTGTGTTATCTCTGTAATTGTCTCCTGAGGAACACCACTTAGGTAATCATCTGTTATGACCTTCATATCCCTGCGACTAGGGTTGTAGAACGTAACTAACCTGGAAATGTTTTCCCTGAATGGTTTTGCTACTGAGGACAGTTGTTGAGTAATTACAATAACAGATAAGTTGTAATGTCTTGCGGAGAAAGCTAGGCGCACCAGTTCTGAGACTCTTTTCTTTACATCTTGACTTGCTGCACAATCATCCACTATAATGAGAGTTTGAGTTCCACGAAATATGGTGGACACTGCCTTCAGAACTAAATTGATCATTTCTTGCGAACATGGAATTTGTATGACTCCGTGATCACTAATATGAGTCCAATTAATGTAAGTCATATTCCATTCTATTGTTGGACATATAATAACAATGTAATCAAAAACTTTATTGTATTCCGTTTCTAACATATTTAGTAAGAACTGAGTTTTACCACTTCCTGTCATTCCTACTATAAGCATGTTGAATGGTGGTTCGAGTTGCATCTCTATGCTTTACCGTTAGTATTGAATACTTGATAAATCTCTATTAGCAAAGTTAAGGAGGGCATCTGATACAATAAAAATATTGCATTGAACGTCAGCAGTTGTGGCTCTCTTTTTGATTTCCATGAGTACGCCTGACTGTGTGTTAACAATTCTCCTTCCTCCACCAGTGGTATCATCCTGTGTTGACCTAAGATCAATTGCTAGAGCGAAACCATTGCTGAAGAACTTACTGATGGACATAAATTCGTCTGCCATGGATTTCTCACACATAGGGCAGAAAAATCGTTTTGCCTCTTCGAAGAACCTATTTTTAGGAAGTCCTTGGGAGAAGACTGCATTAGGAACACCTTCAATGGTCAGGTTCACTTTATCAATGTTTGGGTAAATATATTCTTCAGAATCAGTCCTCACTCTATTGGTAAATAGAAGGACAATTGCTGACATGCTCTTTCTGGGTATATTTATGTTTTCATTGACAATGGTAAGATCCTTGTCCCAATTACTCGTGCGCATTAGTGTGACGTGTTTGTAGGACAGTGAGCGACCTGTTGAATACATCCTTGACACTTCACTTGCAAGGGCGTCATTCTCAATGGTCTCGTATTCTAACTCAAGATTGTCCAGCTTATAATTACCCTTAGCTTCACCTCCTTGGGCAGTCATAATCTCATCTGATTGTGGGAGTGTGAGGATGTACATAGGATTGTTGTTCATGTAAAATGGAGTGTATAGACCATGGTCTGCAATTATTTTATCAACTGGTTTTCTCAGCTTGGAACCGTACACACTGTGGAGAAGTGCATCTGCTATTTTATTGGCATCACCAACCTTAGTGCCTGAGTCATCACCTGATATTAACTTCCTGAGATTCTCACTTGCAAGACCCTGTTCAGTCATCTTCTTTCTATCACCTAGTGTTAGCCATAGATCTTTGTATATTTCATACAAACTCTCTCCCGAACAGTCATAAGCTGTTTCACCAGCTACTTTAATCTGAAGACGTTTAGCTATCAACTTAGACAGGTTATTATTAAAGTGGCTTTTTGTATTGGAATTTTTAAAGTCAAATAATAGTGCAAGTGATCCTGGAACTAGACAAGAGTCAGGCTTTAGTTTAGGAATGTTAATGTACAGCTCTTCACCTGGGCTAATAGTTGTTGGATTGAATGTTGTAACATTTAGGGTCCTAGGTCCCCTTATAGATGTCATGTGGCTCCTCCTGAAGCCAGGCTTTAGTTCTCTTTCCGTGGTATTCATACTTGTATACAATATGTAATGTTTAGCTGTACTTGTAAAGTAAAACTGCTGCTGCACATACAATGATTATCCATATATTATCCGCTGCTAACTCTACTCCATCGGCTATCTTCTGAAATACAGGTGGTAGTTCTACTTGGTTGTTTACCAACTCACTGATCCGCTTATCGAGCTTTCCTGTTGTGTCACCTACTTTCCACATTATGTTTCTAGTTGATGCTACCAGTCCTATGATTATAGCTGATGAGGAAATTAGAACAGCTGATAAGATGCCTGCATTCTCCCTTGCCCATAGCCTGAGTCTCTGCAGTCTCCTACGATCATCACGTTTAATTAGATCCCTCTTTTTCACCTTGTCTCTTAAGTTGAGAAGTTTATTTAGATTTGACTCTCTTTGGTAATCATTTGATAGCATTCTGACGTATCTCAGTTCTTCCGACTTTTCTTTGAAACTGTTTTCATCCAAATCGGATAGTATTAGTTCATTTAACAGTCTGTCTCCCCTATCCATTAGATCATCGTATGACAGATTAGATAGGTCAGGGAATTTCTCATCTAATTGCTCTGGTGTAAGGTCTTCACTTAACATTTTTCTTCTCCTTAGTTCCTGTACGTAATTAATTTCCTCGTTAATATCCTGGGTCTCCTCAGTGGTTTCACTTTCCCTAAGATCCTTGTCAAGGTACGGTAATTCGCTATCTAAAGTTTCTATATCCATTTCTTCATAGTTTGGATACTTTTCCCTCAACTCCTCCATTCTCCGGTCATCGTATTCCTCCTGGTGTTTCTCCATAGCTAATTTACTTTGTGTAATAGTTGTATACTATTAAGGCCGCAGCTACAGCTAGAACCCATAAATTAGACGCTAGCCAGGCAATTCCTTTGGCTCCCCAGGATAACGCTGTTGCAACTGCGTTCAGGATTGGAACTAGAATTGGTCCTGCTTTCTTTGCTAAATTTGCTAGTGCTTTTGCTACTTTACTAGTGGTCTTTGCTGTCTTAACAATGGCTCCCCTAGCATGAATTAATAGGGCTGTAATTAAACTAGCTGTTGACACTGCTATCCCTACAAGTCCCACCTTTTCCTTTTCAACCCAGTCTATAAATTTACGTAATCTAGAAATATCTTCCAACTGTGCCTCTCTTGCTTCCTCTACTACTCTCTGCTCTAGTGTCCTATCCCTAGCTTCCTTTAGACTATCAATTCTTTCTATAAGAGCATTGTACTCAGTTGCACCCTTCGCTGAGCCGGCTTGTTTCACGGTTTCATTAATAGCTTCGTTAAAGTAGTCAGCTTGTATTTGCAACGCTCCACCGGGACCTGTTCTGCCTTCTATACTTGATCCATCAGGTGGGTTAAGAACACCCCTAAGTTCATTGTTTTCTTGCATTGTTAACCCTGGAAGATCTCCTAATTTTGCACTTATGTCTATTAACTCAATATTCTCACGGTCAGCGTATTCCTCATCACTTCCAATTATATTGTCAGGATTCGTAGGTACCTCTTTTATTTTCTTTATAAGGTCCTTGTATTCTCTTAATGCAGTGGAGTTCTTGGAGTACACAGGTTTACTGGTCTTACCACGTTTCATTATTTGTGTCCCACTTTTGTCAATACCTTGTTCACTTCTAAATACCAACACCTCTGTGCCATCCTTGAGTGTTCTTACAGATGATCGTTTTATGAGTTCTCTGACGTATCTATTCCTAGGATCCAGTATCAGTCCCTCCTTGCCCTTGATAACTCTTGTGACAGCTTGAACACGCTCCACCTGGTTTTCAAAATCTCTCTTTTTATTTTCTGTTGAAATCTTATTTAGTTTCTCTAGGCGGGCTTCTATTTCGTCCCAGTCAGCGTCAAATGATTCGTTGAATGCATCTAGTACGTCTGGAAGTACATTGTTTGGATCTTCTACAAAATCTACTCCCGAGGTGGTTGTGCTTCCTGATGGACCTGAAATGTTCACTGTACCATCATTTCCTTCGGTGAAAGTTGTTTCTTCTATTTCACGTCTCTCCATAAGATTCTTCACATAATCCAGTTCACTTTTAAGATTGGTTATCACTATAGGGTCATCACCATACATAGCCTCTCCCTTCACCCTTGTATCTAACCTATTAAAGGCTGTCGTTAGGTCATCATAATCAAGGTCGTCATATTGAGGATAACTTTTTTCTACCTCCTCCAACTCAGTATCATCGCGGTCATCGTAGTCCTCCATAATACCTTAACTTATGTTAGGGACTTGATGTCTCCAGCTGGTATCCAACTGTTAAATTTGTCGTCGTAACCTAACCACTTAATGAGAGCCATCTTTTTACCCTTCACTGTTCTTCTTCTTAGTACTTTCTCTATTTTGAAATCAGGTTCTCTTCCTTCAGCGCTATACAGTTCTTGTTCATAGAATCTACCAATTATTGGTTCATCAGCACTGTCTTTTATTGTGTACGTGTTTGGATGACCGTGATACACTTCTGTCACAGTGAACAACTCCTCTGTAAAATTTGCTTCGTACCCTTTTGTGAACACTGATTTGTATTTTGAAATTCTAACACTTTCTCCGACAGCAAACTTTGGTTCTGACGGCTTGCCTAGATTGTGACTAAAAAGTGTCTTCCATACTTCAGTCCAGTTGGACTCATTTACACTGTCTGGTGTTGTTTTAATTGATCTGTTCACTGAACTGTTGTAATTATCAGTTAAGTCTTGAAGAACGTCTAACCATTTATATGTACTGGCACTGTAAAAGTACTTCCACATTAGTGCTTTCAGTGTTCTGTTAAATCTTTCCACAACTGCGGCCTTTTTGTCTGAGTAAGTAGAGAAAAATTCAATGTTGTGTTTATTGAGCAATGACTTTACTTCTTTGTTGTAGAACTCTGTGCCCTGATCAAACTGGGCGAATTTTGGGTATTTACCAAAACGATTATTAAATTGCTCTAAAATGTTACTGACTGCGTCCTTCATTGATGTCGCGTTTTTCCTATACACTGATACTGTGAATGCATACCTACTTAGTATTTCAATGGATGTGAGAATCCATCGATATCCCTTGTTCTTGTCATCATATTTTGTCATGTCAACTAAATCCATTTGTAACTGCTCACCTAAAGTTTGAACGTACGTCTGTCTGAACTTATGTCTCCTAAACACTTGTCTGTACCTAGTGTATGTGTCCTGCTCGTTTATCCATTTCTTGACCTGGTTTCTGGTTACTTTAAGTCCTTCCGATATTGCTCTCAGATATAGTTTCTCTGGTGTTTGAAATCCAGTCTTAGGATTGTAGTAAATATCTCGTAGTCCTTGTTCTTTCATAATATCATCGTCCATCTTATATTAACCAATGTAAGCTTGCTACTCAAGGTACATCTCAAGTAGCACTTCACCTATATCAATAGGTTTCCCGTCTTGATCTGTCATGTGGAATACAAGTTCTGAGAAAGAACCCTTGACTACAGGAATTCTGCTTTCTACATCGATATAGCTAACAACTGAGCCCAATAACGGTCTGTCAGTTGGAATTGTAACGCTTGTTATTACATCACTATGTCTTCCCCAGGTGTTAACATTAAAGCTGTTATTAGCTAGATTGCAGTGTATATTTACACATCGTAGACCATTATTAAAGTCAACTTTGCTATCACTAGTTAAACTCCTTCCTTTTAGTAGGATCATAGGATTATTAAATCTATTAAAGCCAAGCATTGTTAAAAACCTGGTTTCTATTGTAATGTCCTGCTTTACAGCTTCTATCTGACATCCTGCTGTTTCTGGAAAATATGTTAGTTTAACACCGTGTCTCTCAAGTAATTTTCTCATACTATCAAATGTGTAGTAACCCTTGTTGACAATGACATCGGATTCCCCGTCAGCTGTTTTTACCTTGAGAATAGTTGTTGGTCCTGTTATATTGAAGTATTCCCAGAACACTGAAACTCTCTTCACAAAGACTGAATTATAATTGCTAGTTAAAACTGAATTCTGTAGTAAGACATTTGTGTGCGAACCTTGAAGTAAAACTGTAAACTTCATCTTAATAACATACGTTAGGTTATTAAGAATGATACCAGGTGGAGGAGACGTTGGGAAGTCGCCTTATAGGTCTTACCAAGATTATGAAAAAAAGTATGGAAAAGAAGATGAAAATGATGTTGATCCTATTGCTGGTAAAAAAGCTGAGGACGCTGAGAGGGCTAGGTTTGTCAAAAAGTACCCTCATGCTGATATGAATAGGTTTAGGTTTGAAGCTATGACTACAAGTAGTGGTGATATTGGAGTTGTAACATGGTTTGTGGACTTAGATGGCATAACTTCATATGACATTAGGTATGGCGGCTTTCTGAATAATAAGGAGTTCACATCTTATCTTACTGGTACTAAGGAAAATTATTATTCCTGCCAGTTTATTCCAATGACTGACATGAAACAGCCCCCGTTAGAAGTACCAGGTGAAGTTGATGGGTGGCCTGCAATGTGGGCCTCCGGAAAGGGAACTGGATACGGGGTAAATTCTGATGACACGGTTGATGGTCACAGTTACTTTCCTAAAATAAGATGGCCTAAGGATGTTAACAATTTTAAGTTGTATGTTGACGCTACAAGCTTCTTTACTACAACAGGTGGTGCAGGTGGATTTCTACTTCCAAGTATATCAAGTCTTATTACCACTAAGGGTGTTGATGTAAAGTTTGATTATAACAAGCCGTATTTTGCTGCACTATGCGGGGCATATATTGCTACACATCTTAGTGGAATCACAACTAGTCATATGACTCCTAGTAACGATGTTTATCCTGTTATTACTAGTGTTATGGACTTTCATGTTTACTATACTATCATAAAATTTGTGTACAACCCTGAGAGGCTGAAACCATATTTAAGTAGGTTGGGTCCTGTAAGGAGTCACATTCCCGTTGTTGGTAAGTGGGAAAATAAAACTGATACTTATAGAGTCACCTATGATAACGGACTTGAGTATGAAAAAGCAAGCTGGCTTAGGAAGAGAGGTAGTGATAGCAATCCGGTTAGGAACGTTGTTGCGTCCCCTATAAACTCAGTCAATGGATTTCTAATTAAGATAAAAATTAGGTATGAAGAAAGGGTTTCAGTAAGTCTGGTAGGTAAGTCTGACTATAGAAGATTTATTGCTGTTAACAACCTGGATGTTCCGAAGAATATTACCGAAACTGGGCTACTATTACTAAATGAGTCAGTGCAGGCGTTCTCGTATTCCGTACTAGGTGCACAAGCATCGACAAGAACTCCAATTGTAGGTGAGATGGGAAAGTCATTTTCTACCCAGGTGAAGTTCGGTAATATTGTTCACAACTGTGTTGTACAAGCGGATCCTGTTGTAACTCTATCTAATATGAGAACGGCTATCAGGGACACAAATGTTATACTTAATACAGCCATTACACCTGGAATAGTTCTGGTTCCGTCCAGTCTAATCATTCTAAAGAATCCCGTTCCTGGATATAATAATATTCTTGTAAATGCTTCTTATAATATGAAGCGTGGAGTTAACACTAAGGTAAACTATGTTGGAGTTAAGAAGACTGATCCTCCAAAGAAACAGCATCAAGACACTACACCAGTTCACCACCTTGATACTATTCACGGAACTATAAAAGTTCCAGGGGGTTCTACAAGTACTAGGCCCGGTGGAGGTTCTACAGATGCTGAGACTCGGGTTGTTCCTATCATGGGAGATAGTGTGGTTAGTACTAATGAGTCTTCAGGAGTCAGTGCTATTG